GATAATAGCAATATGAAATTACAATGCAGAGAAAAAGTGATATCCTAAACTTTCTTAATTTTACTATTCAAATGTCTATTCAAGAGTCATATAATCCAATAAACTATTGTAAATATTTATTTGATTCATTTTTATTTGATGGAGAGCTGCTTTTGCTCTATTCATGTGATTATATTTAAATTAGTAATGGATGATTAATTGAAATTGGAAAATAGAAATTTGGGCATTTTCCAGTAATCAGAACGGGAATCTAGCAAATCTTGTCATGATTTCTGATTCTTCCATATTTAATAAAAAATTAGTTATTTGTTTCATTCAAAGATTAAACATTTTTAAAATTATGATAGTAACAATTAGGTATTAGTTTATTGAACACTTTCACATCAACAAAGCAGAGAGTACACGATGCCCCATACACGAGGTGATGTCTGTCATGACAGACTTTTCTTTCATGTAGTCAGAGCAATGAGATTGTACTAACTGTTCCCATTTCAGGAGAGATGGGTGAATTTAGGGTTGCCATCTGGCCAGTATTGGACCAGCTTAACCATTTCTTGATGTAACCATCCGGCAAGTATTGGTTATATTACTGTATTCTGTATTTATATATTAAAAGCAAAATGTTTCATCACCACTACACACAAATAATGTACATTTATAAATTATGATTTCAATTTGAAAATTTCAAGACAACTTTTAAATGATTTTTAAAAATCATTGTTTTTATTTTCAATTTATTTCATTTTAATTTTANTCATAAGAAACACATTTAAAATAATAGTTTTAAAACTTATGATTTATAATTGCTTTTATCAACCACAACCATCAGTTCTCTTTTTAATTAACTAAAGAATAATCTGTCACTGCATTTCTATTATTCTGACTCATTCTACAGAAACTTGTACTGAATGATAACAAGTTATCTTTTAATTTTCATTCAGTACAGATAGTTTGTCAAACTAACAAGACATAAATATGAGGGCAAGCAGCAGTTAAAGATTATTATATTCTAGTCAGTTTGAAATTAGATTGTGGGTGGTTTCATAATAAATAACTACAGTAATCTGTCATCCTTTTAATAGATTCTGTTAAGAAAAGCTTTCTAATCATAATGTTTAAACAGTGTCAGAATTTTTATTTATTTATAACAGTAGAGAAAATTTACAACATATATCTTAATTAGAATAATTTTTTCTTTGGAAGAATTCAAAAATTTTAGTGTTTTAATCACCCTGACAATTTAAAATTTCTATACTTGTCAAATAGGTTAAAAAATTAAATATTAAAATATCTAAATTCAGATAGTTGCATTAAAGCCAGATTAAAATGAGTTATGCTATTACTACTATTAACAATTAAATTTAAATTAAATTGAATAATTTAATTATGGACAGCAGCATTAATATAGCCTGATCTAACCCAGCAATCATTTGGCTCTAAATTCAGATGTATAAAATTTTGGAGATATTCATTAAGATAAGTGCATGTCTATTTTAATATTTTAGATCATTCCTATTTGGTTATTAGTTCCTTAACTATCTATAATTAAGATTCAGAGCTATTTTTGGTAAATCCTAAGCTCATTTAGCTCTTCTTAAAATTCTTTTAGATTGTCTAAATTCCAGAGATTCTTACTAAAATGTGATAGAATGACTAAGATAAAATAAGACAATTTTCACAAGAACTGCAATCTTAGTTATTGTGATTCAGACATACCAGTCTGTTTATAAAAATTCAGTCTTACAGAATAACTAGTAATGTTAATTTAAGCTTACTTGTTAGTAATTTATTTTCAAAATTAATTTCTGATAGGGTATCTAGTTTCAAATCAAGGCTGGCAGTCAGCAAAAATATTTAAGTGTCAGCAAAACAGTTTAAAATGTAAACAAAATTATGTAAAAATTAATTCTGATTAACTATAAAATTATTTTTAATATGTAGTATGTTTACTTATAATAAAATGACTCTCATTATAATTATGATAATTTTGTAACAATTCACAGACGATGCTGAAATACATTAAATTTTCAAATACTATTCTAAGTAAAAATAGTTGTTCATACTAAATCTACAGCCATTTTGAGTTTTAAAAATTGATTTTTCAAGATGAGTCAATCTAGACATTCGTGACTCAAGTCACTGAATTCAAAAATTGGTTAACTCATGACAATGATGATCACAATGAGTTGTTTGACTCATTCCATCATTTGCTGAACCTCATTTAGTGTTAAATACAACAGAATTAAAGCATTTGGCATACCAATGGAGAGAAGCACAAAAAAAGAAGTTCACCTTCTCCTTTATCCAGGGGCGCCACTAGCTGTTTGAACGCGCGTGTGCAATACTGATTATGCCACCCCCTGTTTAACTAAGACTACCTGCGCTGGCAGACATCTTTGCCACCAAACGACTGTGGTGCAGCCTTCAAACATTCGTCAAGAAAACAAAAGAACTAAAACCGGACTACCTCAAAAAACAGCAACAAACACCGAATGACAATAGTCCAATCCACCAAACATCGGAAAGTGAAACAGACGAAGATAACAAGGACGGTTCCTGATCATATATGCCATGTACAGTACATATAACTTCCCCTGTTTTACATTAATTAATTGCTCGATATTACCTTATATAAATTGTAAACATTAACCCTGAATACTGTTTGTATTGCCGCGCCATTTTGTTTATATGGTTTTCATGCTATTATTGGACCTTGTAACCATATTTTGATTTACTTAGTGTGTTGAGGCGTTTCGGGCGCCCATGGAACCCATGGTCACTTCCTTCCTCTCTCCTATCTATCTAACTTCCTCTTGCTGCTTATCATCTTACCTTCGAACCTTCTTTCCGTTTCCTATCTAAACGAGCTAAGTCAGTCAGCTAAAAGACCGACAGCTCTCTCACCCTCTTTTACAAATTATAAATTACAAATTACCTGCGCTGAGCTTGCCATAAAGGCTCTTTAGTGTTGTCTCATAAGAGTGTGAAAAAAGAAAAGAAATACTTTACAAAAAGAACTATTTATTATTACTAAGTTATTTTTGTTTACTTAAGTGTAAAACCATAAAAATATTTATCTATAGAAATTGAACTCTTCTTGCCTTCATGTTTGCGAAATCTGTTATCAATTTTCTTGTATTCAAGCTGTCTAAGATTTCATTTTCCATTGAAACTATAGCTATAAACTAAATTACTTAGTCTTTGCCGGTGCATTGTTGATCTTAAATAGTGTTTTATAATTTTTAACTTTGAAAAGGACCTTTCACCAAATGCAACTGAAACTGGCAATGTAATTAATATTCTTACTGCTATTGCTGTGTTCAGAAATGTTGAAATTAAATCATTAGTAAAAAGATATTGTAATAAGGTTTGAGGATCATTAGACTGGTTTTCTGGAAAATGCAACTTTAAAGTATTGATTTCATTAAACAAATCAATACCGTCAATGCCTGTTTCGCTACTTGAATCGTCTTTATAAGCTTCAGATTTAAATCCTAACCAAGTTAAAATATTATTAATTATAGTTAGACTCATGTCAGAAGAATTATTAACAAAATAATTGCAATTTGATATGCGAAAGAACTGTTCGAATGCGTACAAGTACAAATTGAGAAGGAAGCTCTATGGAGATTCCCTATTTTCGCCAAACCTGTCAACTTCTGTCATACAGCACGACTATGGGTACTTGGCTTTCGGGTGCCGCCAGGTTCAACCTGCCAACAGACATTTCGCATTGCATGTTAATTCTGATAAATGCCAATAGAGGCGCTGTTAACACTATAATATAAATAAAAATATAGTAATTGCACGCCAGTCGGATTTTTTTCTCCACGCGAAGACATTTCTTATGCTATAAGTAGGGTGGGCATTATGACAATGACTTTGAATATTACGTGACTGATCGCTCAATTTGCCACCCACTGAACGTGCTGCCCGCGTGCGGTGCATGCCTTGCACGCCTGCTTACAGCAAGCCTGCCTTTATCTTCCCCCAGTCATGGTATCAACTAACAAAGCAATTTTAAAAGATGAGGACCCTAGATGACACTATGGGATAGTTCTTTCAGTAAAAGGAAATTAGTTGTTAGTTCTTTGAGGGTAGGTTGCAATATTAACTTCATCCAAACTAAGATTACAAAATTATTTTGTAGTATACAATGGAAGCATGCATAACCAGATATAAATTAAGAATTTTCACATTTTTTTTTTTTGCAAGATTGATTTTGGATTTTCCAATCATTTTCCATTCTTAAGCTTGATGTTTGTTAATTAATTAATTAAGGTCCCATGCTCATAATGTAAATTATTAATTTTTCTAAACTAAAATAAGCTTTAGAAAATATTCAAATAAATTGGAATTGGAAGTTTTCGGCTGAATTGGAATCAGGAGAAATTTTGGTATCGTACCATCACTAATTTAAAATAAGCACAAGCACATTTCTTGATGTAAATAATTCTATTTTCAATTAAATTTTAATAAAAAAGAAAATATCTTTTATGAAATTTTAATATCAAATTTCATAAGTAATACATATGAAAATAGTATCAATAGAATAATAATGGATTTCAAAGTCAACACTGAAATTTATGCTAGACAGACTAGAACTTAACCATTTATATTATAATACAATATTTCAATTATATTACTGTATATTATATATTATTTATTTATTTATATTTATTATAATATAATGTTAATACAAATCAATAAATTCAATAATAATAATATAAATAGAAGTGCATGTTAATTTATTTATTAACATGTTTTAAGTTTTGTGAACTTATGAAATATTAAGTTAAAAATACTATCTTGAATATATTTTTTTGAAATTATTGTTATTTACACAACTTAAATTTTTAAAACTAAATTTTCATTCAATGATCATTTATCTCATAGACAGATCTATACAAACAATATAGATTTAAACTATATTTATTCTTAAAATAAATTTACCTAATTAAATTCCAGTCATTTCATTTTAAAAAATGTACAAATCTTACCTTATACACTTGTCCATATGTGCCATTTCCTACCACTTCAATCAATTCAAAAATTCCAGCAGGATCCTATAGCAAAAGATAATAATAAAATCATCATTATGATTTGGTAAATTTTTAGAATAAGCCTGAAAATTTAAATTATCATTGTTATGATATTTATTATTTCCATTTCAGAATAAGTAAAAATAATTTAAATAAAAAAATACATTATTTTACATGTTATGATGTTACAAAAGAGATATTACTAATGAAAATTATAAGAAATCTTAATTCAAATGCAATATCTAAGATATGTCAATGAATTATATTATATTAAAAACACAAAACAACTTCCACAATACAAAAAAAATCATTTTTTATTTTTTTAAACAATGTAATTGATTGTCATGTTATGAAGTTATTAATTATTACTTTGCATACATATCAAAAGGATTATAAAATGTATTTTCTCATAGAAGATATTTTTTTAAAAATAACAGTTAATATAAAAAAATTCATTCAAATCAAAATAAAAAAAACACAGAAGCCCTCATTACTAGAAGAAATGAGTAAAATTGAATAATTTCAAAGCATTTTCAATAAAACTGGGAAACAGAACTGCCTCAAATATGTGACAATTAATATTTAGTTAAACATTTTGTTAGATAAATAATAACTACAGTTTTCTAATCTATACTTTTTATTACTACTGAAACTAATTATTTTCAAACTCAATTATAACAGAAATTAATTACCTTTTATCATAAACAGAGAGTAAGGAAATTGTTCATAGAATTTTCTGGTTGACCTTTAACAGTTCTTTAAAGTTAATAATTTTGCAAACTTGATGAAAGAATAACAAAATACTAATGAAGTCAACACTGCCATATGCCATTGGGCTATATAACAGCTATATCTATACTAATATTATAAAGAGGTAAAAAGTTTGTAAGTTTGGATGTAGGAAGTAATCTCCGAAACTACTCATCCAATTTCAAAAATTCTTTCACCAATATTTAGAATGGACCTCCAGGGTGAACATAGGCTGTATATTATTCTGTTAAACATTCATATAAATTAAAAGATATCATCTAGGATTAACACTTTTATGTCCAACAGATGGCGCTAACTCCGGGAGTACAACAACCTAAGTTTGCTTTTCTGTGAGGATGAACTAAAGCAGATCATCTTCTATCTATCTATATAAATAAAAATGTACTGTTCGTTTGTTCCTACCAATTCCTTTGAAATTTTGACACAACGTTGCATTCGAATACACACGTGTTTTTATATAATATACGCATCAAAATTTCCCTCACTGGTGGGCGATGAACAAAATTAAGGCTTACCGTGAAGAACTCTGCTTCTATTTATACTATTTTAGATGAGGTTTTTGGCATTTTTGATTGCATTTTAATAGAGTACATCAAGAGAATGTACACTAAGAAGGGATTTTTCGAAAAATTCCCCCACAAGGGAAGTGTTATACATTTATAATAGATACATTTTGAGCCACAATAACGTGTGGCAGGGTCTGCTAGTTAATAATAAATTACCAAACAATTTGACCCTAGAGGGAGGCATTAAGCACTATCTCATATTAAATTAAATAATTAAACTGGAAGAAAAGAATTGGCCTGGAGCAGGACTCACCTTCCGCCACTCTCTAGGGCAGTGTTTCTCAACAGGGGCAATATCACCCCATTTGGTGTTTTTCCACATTGGGGGGCCATTAGTAACAATTTATATTTTGGGGCAAAAAACAATTTTCTGGGCAATATAGTAAAACATTATATTAAGAATAATTAGATATTTTATTTGTTATATCGTATAATAATTAAACAAATAACATTATACTAGTGACTAGTCTTTTCAATGCAATACAAATTTGGCATTAACTTCAGCCCTCGGCATCAGAATTTTGAAGCTTGCAGCAGGGATTCACAGCGAATAATGCTTAATTTTAATTTTGTTAATTATATCAAAATCTAATACATATTCTGAGTAAATAAATGTTTATTTGATAATTATATACTTCATAAAAAATTAAACTAATAAACCCAACAAAATTGTTTTCAAAGTGAAGGGGGTGATACCACGTAACAGTTTTAGTGAAGGAGGCGATGATTCATTAGGAGGTTGAGAAACACTGCTCTAGGGTCAAATTGTTTGGTAATTTATTATTAATATAGCCATTATATAACCCAATGGTATATGGCAGTGGTTGACTTTATTATAATGTTTCGGATTTAGTACAGTTCTTTGTTTATATTTAAACAAAATATTAAAAATTTTTATTGATAAAAAGTAATTTTTGCCTGTAGAACAACTAAAGTTTCTTTAATTTAAAACTGATTATATTTAAAATTCATTTTGTAATGATGGATCCATTTGTAAATAAAGTCCAAATATTTTTAAAAATCCATATGTTTAATATTAATTATTTAACAATAGAATGTAAATTTCTTGTGTGCTACTCATATCTAATTTTTCTAATTTAACACTTATTTTCATATTTAAAACAATTGCAGTATTGGTGTATTAATTGAATTTTCTGACAAATTCTGCTAGAAATAGTGCTTTAGTTTTAACTGGAGTGAACAAAAGCAGTTCCCTCACAAGTGAGTTCATATTTTTACATGCATTTTTCTTTTCTGACTGTTATATATAACAGAGGAAAATCATGGCAATTGATCAAAGAATGATCTCTTAAGAATTTTACATTTTTCTACTCAAGAAACCTTGAAATGCTGAGAAATGTAAAAAAATTCAGAGTTTTTCTGTATTTATGAATGTTAGTATGTGTGGGAGGAGCATAATTTTGTTCATCCACTTTGAAGCTTAACAACAATGTAAATTTTGTCTCCTGTCAAAAATTTTTGAAATTTTTCAGAGAGGTTTGTGTATTCGGGGGATTGACGTCTAAGTTTTGGTGGTTCAAGGTCAAGAAGATAGTGAGATGAAGGGGGTCATGTCATATCGTGATTGAGGGTGGACTTAATGAAGATTTTACTCATTATTAGTATTTACAATTTAAAAAAAAAAAAAAAAAACTCATCTTTAGCTTCAAAAATTAAGCTTTTTGCCATTTTATAATAATTAATAGTCAAACTGCATTATAATTACCAAGAAAATAGTACTGTTATACAAGAGTTATTGTTGTAGTGATATCTTGAATCTTAAGAACAGATATCATTAAAAAAGTGAAGTTATTTTAAATACATTCTGTGCCCATATCTCAGTAAATTAATGAAATGTTACATGGTTGACATCTTTATAATTAGGTGTCCTTAGACATTTCCAAGAAGAATCTAAGTTTCCACCTGCTACACTATATTCAATTTCCTTATGTTTCTTTACAAATGTTGCTAGGATTGCTGAACTAAGCAATACTTCTTTGCAACTACTGTTTGTTCCATTCTTCTACCAATATCTTAGAAAGTTTCTAACTTCATTTCCAAACTTATCAGTTTCCAACTTTTGCCATTTTTTCCACTACATGATGGTACATACTGCTACCATCTTCTTGGCCCCTAGCCAGAACTCTTAGTGGGAAAAAGAAATCCTTTGCAATTGGTCAAGTGCTTAGAGTTTCTCATGGGATTGGCTGAGGCAGTGATAATGATCACAATGCTGCCAATTAACTAGCTGTGGACAAACCATCCTAGAACATTGGAGGTCCGTAGGTAACAAAATTAGCAAATAGGTGCATCCATCTCTTCATTACAAGGTTCCTACATAAGTCACCATGATGAAGCATTCAAGTCAGCTTTGGATCATGCCAACACATCCCAATAGTCATGTCACCAAAGGATTTTACTATTGTTGTAGCAGATAAAAAAATTACAGTATTTGTATAGGAATTTGGGACCACAGAAGTTCTATCATTGTACTAGGGTTTCTTAGGGAAAATGTGCCATTTATCAATAAAAGTAAAACTAGTTTTAATCCTCTCTGCAGTATAAACAATGAATACTAAGCTATAGTCAGCACAACTAGAGATGGCCATTGGGTTGGTTCATTTTAGTGTGGTGTAGGGGAGATTGATACTATGTTAATTAAGAAAAAAAAAAGACTATGGTTGCTGTTTATTCAATTTCTATGTATAACATCCTTTTAATCCAAATAATTTTTCCTGGTAGACAATCTCACAGCTTTTTGGTCAGAAAATTAGTTTTATTTTGAAAAACTTTCAACTACAAGTGCATTTCAACCATTTCAGGTTGGTTTAAGTTTCTTTTTTCTGTTAATTTGTAATCAGAAATTTTTAATAAATATAAGTATTTAATAGAAGATAATGCCAATGTAATTAATTAAATTAAATACATGCCCACAACTTTTTTGAGATAAATTGAATCACAAAAGCATATATGTGCATTCATGAACATTTCTATCTTCTCTTAAATTAAAGAACAAATATGAACCAACCCAAGAGCCAACTCTAGTTGCACTGACTATATATGAATACTAACAGGCTACTAATTGTACTAATTATTATTAGGTTTTATTTCTTCTAGTTATTTATTTTCTTTTTCTACTTTTTATGATGCTATAAATTTATTGGCTGCATTTACATATAGCCTTGATAGAACAAGGTCAGTTCAAAAAGTTCCCAAACTTTTTGAATAGCACACCTCCAGTTGGTTATTTTTTAATCTGCTTGAAGGCATTGTGTCCACAGAAACATCCTGAGTAACCTCCTTCAACTCAATTGTTGATATCTTGTTTTGGTGATTAGTTATGGCTGTTTATGTGAAGGGGTGTTCTTGGGGTTCAGCAAAAAATTGGATCCGTGGAAATGCGCTCTTTGAAGGAGCAGCGTTGTCCTGTGAAATTCTGTGTAAAACTTGGAAAATCCTTTACAGAAACTTTTCAGCTGATCACCAAGGCTTATGATGAGAATGCTACGAAACATACCGCATGTTATGAGTGATTTACCCAGTTCAAAACAAACAGCAATCAATGGAAGATGAGCATTCTGGATGACCATCAATGTTGACTGATAACCCTCATATCAAGAAAGTGAACGATCTCGTTCGTGCAAATTGACGTTTGACTGTCAGAGAACTTGCAGAAGAGTGTGGCAT